ATAAGTGGTCTTGGAACAGGAGGCATTTGACTTTTTTTATTATAAAGTTGTTGTTGATGATGAAGAGCAGCTAATTGTTGTCTATACCAGAGATCATTAGCATTTAACGCTGAAGCTAAACCAGGTGGATATAAATCATTATAACCATCTTGGCCATCTTTTGAATTATAAAGATAAGGAGAAGTATTGAGAGCATGAAGTTGTGGAGGATTATGCAGGTTAAGTTTATAATTAAGTTCATTTTGATAATCTAAATATACAGCAGTACCAACTTCTTCGGGATCGTATGCAGGATAATAACCTTCAGCATAAGTTGGATATACTTCAGGATAAGCATCAGAATACGGAGAAGAAGGTCTAACCACAGCAGCTTGTTGTTGCTGTTGCTGTTGTTGTTGTTGTTGTTGTTGTACTCTATTAAGAGGCTGAAGAATTTGGGGAATAAGTTGTGGAGATGGTTGCTGAGGTGGAGGAGTATGACATGAAATAAAACTCTCTTGAGGAGTACTATTATTACTATTATTATTAAATTTCTCTTGAATATTAGCGACTCTTACACTTTCTTCAACTTGAAAATCGTCATTTGCACCCCAAAGACAGAATTTTATATAAAATTGATGGGTAATACTAATAAAACGACCAGAATATGTAGGTTGAACACTACGTGGAATAAATAAGTTGACAGTATGAGTATATTCACCATCCAAATTAGGAGCTCTAATTTCTTGACGAGGAATAGCTAAAGAAACAACATTTTCTTTAACATGACGAGTTTCATTTGGATTACTACATCTAAAATCCATACAACATTTTAAAGCTAATTCAATTCTTTCAACACTAACACCAGGACGTACGAATTTCATTCTTATTGGAATAGTAACATAAGTACCAAGATTGAAATTCTTATTTGGAGGTAAAATAAAAGAATAATCAACACCACTTCTTGATTCACCACGTAATTTATAAGGAGTAAGATTAGAATTATCTAAAGTTAAAGTTCTTTTTAAAGGACATTGAATTTCAACAATTTGGGTAGAAGAAGACATTAAACCACCTTTACGATTAATAGTGGCACGAAGAACATAATTAACAGTACCAAGTTCAGTAGTAATAGTTTCAGGTAAATTATAAGGAAGTTTAATTTTAAAAGGGACGTCTAAATTTAAAACAACTTTATCATCAGATTTCCAAATTTCTTGAGAATGATCAACAACAACTTGTTCACCAGTATAAAGAGCTTTTGTTCTAGCTTGAGCTTTATACCAAATAGTTTTTTCAATTCCTTTAAGATTAAGGACAATATTTCTAACTTGATATTGTTTTCCATAATTTAAATGTAATGTACCAACTAAATAACTATCAGAGTCACCTAATATTCCAAGTTGAAAAGAACTATTATCACTAGCATAAGAGAAAGAAACACTTTTGCTAGATTTAATATATGCGCTTGCAGGAGGACGATTTTTAGCTCCACTGAAAAAGCTACTACCCGAATTTGAAGTAGTTGGAGAAGGTAAATTCGACATCTCTGATTATCTTTAGTTTGTCAAAAAATTAAAAAAATTTTTTTTTTCTTGAAATTTAAACTAATAAAAGAAGGGAAAATAGATGGAAGAAAAATTAAGGAGTGAGTTTTAAACAACCAACCTCGAGAAAAAACCTGCAAAGATAAAATGATAATTGTAACCAACTTTTTATATGGAAAAAAAAAATAGAGAAACCCTTGTCAGACCAAACCGAAATTAATTGGATGCAAATAAAAATATTAAGCAATTCTCCTGAATAAATCTGTAGTGTAATGAAATGTTACAGTTGTGCGCGTGCGCTTTGTTTTTTTTTTTTTTTTACGATAAGTTCGTACGAAAAATCTTCGCTAACCACCAAAAAAAAATTGTTCAACTTATTTGGAAATTTTTATACATAGAAAATTAACAACAATTAATGGTTGACTTTTTTTTTTTTTTTATTATTAAGTATTATTTTTTAAAAAATTTGATAAGAGAGTGCATTTAAAAGAATTATACGTACAAGAGGGGAATTTCGAAGCTTTATAAATAGTAATTAAGATGTTTTTTTTTTTTTTTTATTGGTATTATAATCAGTGTGTGACACTGAGAACATTTTTCTTGTCCTCAAAAATTTTTTAATGTTCTCAATATAGAAAAATTAAATTTGTATAATATTAAAAAAATCTATTTAATGTTCTCA